TCGCGCCGCCCTAGAGTTGATTACAGCTTTCTCAAGCGCGTCGCCACAATTGATTTTATGGCGACGTTTTTCTTCTCTTTCGCTGTCGAAAATGATTCCAATAAAAGATAAACCTTGAACCGCCCCCTGACCGAGCGTTCTCCCGCAGGTGACGCAGCTGTGCGACGAGGGCAGCCACGCCCGCGAGGCGCCCACGCGCCACAACCTCCTGTGCGGCGGCCGCTCCGTGTGGGAGGTGCTGAGGGCGAGTCCGGACTTCCAGAACAATCGGTAAGGATAGCAGTCAGGAAGCCCGCTCGGGAACGACCGAGACTGATACAATCTTTCACGCTCTGCGCTTTATCAATTTAAGTTCATTGGTGTTGTCTTCCTTAGGAACGCCGAAGAAGCGCCGACGGAAAGTGACGTCGCCTTCCGCTACGTGCGCGCGCAGCCGCCCAGGATCGTCCTGCTCATCGACGACACTGACGTCATGAACGTGCAGGTGAGTCGCTGTTGGTCACGTGACGCAGTGTTGTTGTTTCGTAGTCGTTGAGTTCCTCGTGTGCGCCTTCTGGCTTGAGCTGACTATCCTCTGTGCGTCCGCAGAAACGGTGGGAGTTCGTCCGCAAGGCCGTCCGCAAGGTGGTCACCTACGACGTCCCCGACGGCCACAGCGTCGGCCTCGTCGTGTTCGACTCCGCAGCGGCCACCAAGTACCCTCTGACGCGGCTGACGGACGGCGCCACGCGGGAGAAGGTAGGGTCGTCCCTCCCGCGGAACCCCTCTCGGGAGCCCCACCACAAGCGCTGCCTCCTGTGCGGCCTGCGGGAGGCCCTGCGGATGCTGCGGCAGGACAGCACAGGCAGTGGTGCAGGCCATGTAGTGCTGCTGACTGCTGGGGGAGGCGAACCCCTGGACGCGACCCGGACCAATGAGGCGTCTCACGCCCTGACGGCGGCCGGCGTCGTGCTGCACGCCATCGTGTACCCGCTGACCGAGAAGTACCCGACGCCGGGCGCCGGCCTCGAGACCGTGGCGGCGCTCAGCGGCGGCCGCACCTACATCGTGCCCGACCAGGGCATCGGCGCCGACTCCAAGCTCAGCATGTACTACAACCTGCTGGACTCTCTGTACACGGCGCTGGCCGGCGTGACGGGCCCGTCCGTGCTGCCGGTGAAGGTGCACGCGGCGGAGCACCCCGGGGGGCGCGTGGCCGTGTCCCAGGGCACCTTCGCGCTGGACCCGCACCTGGGCGCCGACACCGTCTTCGCCATCTTCTACTACCACGTGACCCACGTGGGGAACCTCATCCACCTGGTCAGCCCGCAGGGGCAGGTCATCGACACGGCCAACATGCAGAAGGAGGACGCCAACATCAACATGATCACCGTGAGGCTGGCGGAGGCGCAGGCCACGGCGGGCCAGTGGCACTACAAGGTGGAGAACAGGGCGGACTCGCACCAGGCGCTCTACGTGCAGGTCACCTCGCGCCGC